TGACAGTTCTAACTAAACACAGTAAGTAATAACTAAGCAGGTTTTTTTTTTAAATTTTTTTGCTTAGTCGACTACAAATTAATAAAAAAATTTTAATTTTAATTTTTTTTATATTTTTTTTAAGATTATATTATGAATTTAAAATAAATACTATCACTGATTTTAATTTTGATTACAATTACTTTTGTACTGTAACGTATTCTAAATTAATAGCCAACACAATTTATAAAAGACAAGATGAAACCAGAGATCCAAAAAATTATATTTTGTATCAGAATTAATTTTTCTGAGTCATAACTACTACAGATAAAAACTAAAAAGAAATATAATATTTAAGATATTTTAATAACAATTTCAGAATCAAAATAATATATTTTTTCTTTCTTAAATAATTTTTATTTACTTAAGAAGAAATTTCATTAACATGTTTTGTCTCAGTTTTATAAGCGTGTAACATACCAAAAGTATGTCCAGCAGTCTTCATTAAATTTTGTTAGTTTTAATATTACAGTGAACTAACTTTAACTTAAAGGTAATACTATTTTCTGTAGTTTGTTGGTATATCTTTTCAATATACTAATTTTGAAGCTAGTTACAATACATAAACCTCTTCAATATTTAAATTGATAAAACAAAACAATATTTATGAAAACCATGAAACAGGCGAAGAAGGATGTTGAGTCAATTTTTTAATACTTGTAATTTATAATTAGTAAAACTTACTACAGTTATTAATCTACTTAAAGTGATATATTTGAGATTTTAATACAAATAAATAATAAATAATTTAATATAACTTTTCCATTTCAATTGATAAATTAATTTCTACTACTTGATATGTACAAAATAAAATATTACATATTATAATTATATGAATTAAAATTTTACATATAGTATGTGTCTAAAAACAATATAATATCTATAAATACTAGAGGAATAAGTCAAAGGTATAAGACATTATAAAACTCGACAGGGCAAATAATTTACTAAGTGTGAAACACCAACAAAAAATTAAATATTAATTTCAATGTTTTCAATTGAGTTAAAATAAATCTAAGTTATGGGAAGTAAATAAACTAGTAAGAAAAACCTTAATTTACAATAACAATGAAGTTGTAACTTACTGTGGCATATATATTACATTACTCAGCGTAAACAATAAAATGCTGATGATCAACCTCAGGTATTTCAACATTGACATACTGTTGATTTAGATCATCTTGTACCTGGCTTATTGACCGATTTGAACTAGGTCTTGGTCGCGACATATGCCTGCTACAAAATAATAATTTTTGTCAATATTTATATCTAACTCATTTCTTAAACAAGTTACAATACATACTTTGCTTTAGCATGTGTTAGAATATGAGACTTCAAGTTAGTTGATTGGGCAAACTTTTTGTTGCATGCATCAAATGGACACACATAAGGTCGGTCACCGGTATGTATCCGTACATGAGTTCTGAGATTGAAGTCTAATGAAAATCTCTTACCACAACCTTCAAAAGTACACTGAAAAAATGTATAATGCAATAAATATTAATGAAAAATGGGTTTATTTTAATCATGTCTTGTATACCTGGAAAGGTTTCTCCCCAGTATGTACTAATTGATGACGTTTTAGTTTTGAACTCTCGACAAATGCTTTACCACATTCTGCACACACATGAACACGGGGTCCGTGAGTATGCAAATGTTTTCGCATAGCTGAATTATCGCGGAACATTTTTGAGCAGTTTTTGTTTGGACAAGCAATAGTACGGTCCATTAGTTCTGAACTATAAGATTTTTTCACTTTTGACTTATGTCCAGGTCTATAAATGTTACATCATTATCATATTAAGGTTAACTAGTATAAATAAAAAGTCTTATTGAACATACCTAGCAAAATCGGAGAGTTGTTTTGGATCACTAAGGTTAATTTGAGGTATTTCTTCAGAAATAGTTTGCTCAGTCATATATTCTTCATAATCAGGATCAGGGTCAGGTTCGGGGTTGCTAACTTCTTCTAAAATGTAATCTATATTATGTTAAAGGATTATTTTATTTTTTGATCATCTTGAAATAATCGAACAAAATTTAAATATGAATTATGACAAAGATAATCTTTACCATCATCTGTCCCGGAAGCCCACATGGTTACAGAAAATTCTCCTTCTAACGTTCGAATTTGAACTTGTTTTTGTTCCCATTTCCTTGGCCGACCAAGTGGTAGTGGTTCTGGTGGTGATGGAACATTAGTTTGTGTTAAATAATGATCTTCAGTATTTTCTTTCTTAAACCTAAAAACAATAATTAATATCAATGTTATTATTTTAGCAAAACTTATAGTATATATTTCAAATGTTGATTGAAGACAAAAATATTAATGAAAACTAGCCTTTCACAATCTTGAGAATGACTCAAAACAAAATACAATTGTTTATCAATTCATGATTTTTAACTTGTACAAGCTTTATTTTCTCATAGATACATTTATATTTATTCAAATATTATGTTAGTTAGACATTTGAGTAAAATAAATCGTTATATTCAATCAATTTGTGTTCTCTTAAATATTAGGTATAACAAATGGGAGTCTTTCTCTCCTCTGCATCAATTATTATTATTAATTATTATTTCCTCTGTAAATTTATTTATAGTAACAGTACACAACATGTTGTGTAAATTATAAATATACCCATTTTAAATAAATAAATATTGTATTTTCAAAATTATGTGAATTAAGGAGTGACATCCTTATTGATAATAGAATGTTTTTTACCATAGTCGTCAACTAGTAGATAATTATTTCCATTCAATACATTTTTTTTAATAGTTAGGTTAATTTATATCGGATAAAATACATACAATAATATAATACAGTTTAATGTTTATCAATAGCTCTCACACTGCTCAGAGAACCAATTACTAAAATTACTTGTTTGTTAATAAACAGTTTTACTTATTAATAAGAAATATTCTGATTAATAGTCATCTAACAAATTAAAATGTTCTACTAAGGAAATAGTAAATGTTTGTTAACAATGGCTATTAACATTTAATATACTGGGTTTACTACCAATTTAACACTCATTTATAAACACTTAATTTGTTTATTAAATTATGTTGGATTGAATCTTTTTTTTCGACATGCTAGGAAGTACTTAAATACACATTTAAAATTGAATCACACATAATTTTTGTACAGTTCATTAAAATATGGAAATCCTATGAATAATGATTACTAATTAGTGTATACTGTAAAAAGGGAAATACTTAAACAGAATTATTATACACGAATATAACAACTAAAGCTAAAAAATATTAATATGTTATCATGTTTTGTAAATATTGTATTTTTAAATATACGATCAACAATATTTATATAGCATCTAAAACTAAAAAAAATTTGTGAAGATTTTTAAATTGTACATTTGTACATAACTACTTAAAAGTTATTTACATCTTTTGTTTCTTTCTGTTATATTCTATATTATATCATCTAATCAATATGATAACAATCTTCAATCATTTAAGGAATTATAACATCGAACTATATAAAAATTCTATCTTAAATAATGGATAAAAATATTTTAATAAACAATAAAAAAAAAACGTAGGTATTAGGTAACTGATAAAATCTGAAATGTCACTTATTTCTACTTATTCAGTAAATCCATTAATTTAAGATTCATAGTTAAGCCTGTCCAAATATAGTATCAAAAGTATGCATTGCTATTCTAAAAATTCAAATAATAGGTAGGTACTATAAGTGTAATGACTCAATCATGCATCCATTGTATATGATTTAGGATGCTTACACTGAGGGTTTTAAAATTTGAAATGTTTCAAAAATTAATTGTTTATTTCTTAGCCTTAAAAAAATGTCACAATTTAACCTGACATAAAAAGCTGAGTGTACTAGCACATTGATGAAAAAACGGCTTACAGTTAAAATAAAAATTCTCATTCACAATAATTTAAAAGACTAATAACAAAAGATATAACTTTCCTAAAGTTTGACGGTGTTTTAAACATTGTTTTTATATTTATCAAAACTAAATAACTGTAAACAAGTAAACATTTTACTTAATTCATGGCAAGAACTAACAGAGGAGTATACTGAAAACTGTGTCCAACTTAATAGTGCATTGTGTACATTTGTAATTTGACAAGATTCGGTGATAAAAAGCAGAACACTTCTAGGTATACAGACTATGGAATAGGTTTGAAGACCATTCAAAGTATGGACAACAGAGACCGGTAACGGTGGCAGTCCACCGGTGGCTAATTTGTGTACAAGCGGTTTACCTTGATGGTCCTGGGCTTTCAGGCTGGGCATATAGCTCTTGGGGCACGACGCTCTCGTAAACATAAGTGAGCTGTCCATCATCTAGATCTTGGTGGTGAGGGTGGTGGTGCTGATGGTGGTGATTGTGGTGCTGGTGCTGGTGATGTCCTGTCTGCAAAAGCATAGTGGTGTTGTCGTTCTTTGGCAGCCCTTGGACGGGCGTCATGATTATTTGCCGGCCGTTCTGGTCCACTACGGTGGTTTCGACGATCTCGCACGGCATCTCCACTGGTATATGCTCAGTCAATTTCAGATCATCATCACCGTCGTCTTCGGCTTTCATGTAATCTGCCGGCGACGCCATTTTGTTTGTTATTGTTTATAGTACAAAAAAAATATGTCGCACGCACGTCCGAGCAATGTACGCGCGAGGAAAATGGCGACCGCCGAGTATGCGCGTGTGTGCGTAGAATGTAGATGGTCGACGGACGGACGGGTAGTCGAACGACGCCATTTAATGAGGTAACAAAGTATTTTATGGATAGATGGCAGTGCGCCGTGGGGTCTAAAAAACCGTATTCAGCAGCAGTACTGCCAACCAAACGGGTAGTTGTGAACCCTCGTTCCTCGACTGTTGGTGGCGTTATCAAAATTGCCTGATTCCTGATGCCTTGCGAACCGCATCAGTGCATCACTGCAATAGAGTGGATGTTTTGTTTATGGTACACATACACACAACACACTAATACACTATTCAATTGGTGTTTGGTATTGGTGAGTGGTGTAGTGTACTGACTACTGGGCATTTGTGTCTGGCGTCTGGTGTCTGGCGTCTGGCGTCTGGCGTCTGGAGCCATCCCCAGGGCCCAACGTCCATCGTCACACTAGCAGTCAGCGAGGCGTCATGACAAAGTCAAATAAAAATATTAACATTAAACATTTTGTTTAATGTTTGAGTCATTGGACTGGGCATGTTACGGTGGCCGACGCAGACACCAGACGCCAGACTTTGGCACAATGCACTGCAGTTCCACAAAGAAATGTGTCAACGAAAATACAGGACATTTTGTAAGTTGTAAGTATGAGCATATACCTTACTCTGAGCTTGTACTATGTATTAGGTAACTCCTAGAGTACCCATTGGTCTATGAGGTTTCGACTGGCCAGTGTTTCAATTCAGTAATTGGGGAAAGTTTAATCAAGCAATTTGAAAGTATCTAGGTAGGTACCTATTGTCATTTTACCCATACTGCCAGACCTAGTTGAGTCTCGAAATGATCTGTAATTGCCGATCGTTGCACATCATACCTATGTGTAATAATATACTGTGCTTATCTTTATTAATAGGTTTATACAGTATCAGGCATCACCTGGACAATGTGGTTCTGGGGGGTTGCAATGATATTAAGTGTATGTATTTCGTATAAGTTCTTATTTGGAACAATACTTTTGCTGTCTTGCACTATAATACTCTGTTCAAGCCACAGATATATAAACATACGTATGTTTATATATCTGTGGTTCAAGCTTAAAAAATTGTAGTCGTCAGCCAAATTGTGCCAAAGGGTGTGACAATACTAAACGGCAGGTGTACAAATAGTTGAGACGGCGGTAGTGGTAAAACAGGTGTTGCCTGGCTGCTGCTTGACAAACACTGGTCCCACCAACTATATACATTTCTTCATCTGAACAGTATAGTGGTCGTGTATTACGTATTTTATTTTACTGTGTTATTTATTAGATGAAAGTATGAAACACATTTCAATTAAGTGCGTGTAAAAAGTATCTCGCTTAAAGTTGTGTTTTCCTGGAACCTAAGCTGACGTTATATTATGACTTGTTTTATTCTCAAATGAAAATAGCTTAATGTAGTAGCTAAAATAAAATTGAATTAACATTTTTTTATACTTACCAAAATCCATCCACCATATATCTTGGATACATATCTTTATTACAACCTTTGTTCTTTGTCAACAATACATCTGAATTTCAACACATATGAAGAACATTGCAATTCTAATCTTTTTAGGAAGAATTTTGTATACAGTATAATATTCTAAAAACATTTTTGTTTCTAGCATAAAATCCTTTAATTCAATATGTATACTCTTTAAATAACAAGTTATTGTTTTTTACTTAAGTATTATATACAATTTACTCTAAGTAATTAATTTAAATTTAAAAATAATTAATGAATATTATATATTATTTTTATATTTTTATAAATTAGTGATCATACTCGTATTCTTGTGATTTACTCTTGTAATGAATTTGGTATGTTGTTTAAATATAGGAAAAGTTAGCTTAGTTATGACAAGTGTATAGCAAAATAATCTAGTTCATCAAAATCCTTGAGTCTGGTTTTTAAATGTTACCTGATTACGTTTTCAGCTTACCAGCCTGGTTATTTTATCATTTATGCTATTGTTTGATATTTTTCTATTCACTGTACCTGGCATATAATTTACTTATTACCTTAATGTAACAAAACATTATAATATTGTAGATAATGCTAACAGATTTGATCCCCCCAAAAAATCTGTATTTTTATTAATTTTGTAATATTATTCTATAGACCAGTGGTTTTCAAACTTTTATTATACACAGCACACTGTACACTTCAAAAAATGTTCACGGCACACTGACCTTTTTTTTAGATGAAAAATTGAGGCATACTTAATGGATACTCTCTTCACACCAGTGTGCCGTGGCACCCAGTTTGAAAACCACTGTTATAGACTGAACTTTACCATGTGAAAGTCTTCTGATGTATAACTAGTTGTTTTTGTTTTTAGACTCACCTATCCCTATAGCAATTCATAATTGATGTTAGTGGATTGAAGATCAGAATACGGCGGCTTTTAAATACAATGGCAATCAAAGAAGAAATAAAAATTAAGAAAGTTATTACTGGAGAAGAATGCACTAATAGACTTCAGGATGGAGTTCCTCTTTTACATCATAGAACCTTATAATATGAAGTTGTATTTGTGTCAAACACCCTGTTGCCAACAAACTATACAAGCGATATTCTATCAGCTAATGAGGTTCCTGTTTACCTGCCATCTGAAGTATGAGCAATCAAAAACATGGAATGAGACTGCGTATCAACCTAAGTTTGTACGTTTGCTTACCCGAGTTACAGAAACATTTACTGCCGCCGTGTTACAAGGCCACATCACCCATTTTGGTCAATTCACACAGTGTCATTCAAATATTAATTATTTGGAAATAATTTTTTCATTTTATTACAAAATAATTCTTGTATTTAAAGTCATACTCATATCTCTATAATTTTTTTTTTCAAAAACATAATGTTTAAAATTGTAAAGAAAAATATTATATAGTTACTCCAGAAGTTAGGTTATTGCAAAACTGCATTTAATAGCTAAACAATTTAATATTCTATTAATCTTTAAGGTATTATTATCATAATAAACTAAAGTTAGGATAACTTGGGCTTATCATAATAATAGTACTTTAAACTTCAGTTGAAAACTAAATTATTATCTGTATTCAAATAAGAGTTAAGTTAATTTACTTAAATATATGACCATTTAATATTTATTGGGTAATTTTTGTTATAGGACAACCTATTTTTTAAACTTTCTCCTATAGTTGAATATGTTTATATAAAATAGACATCAAAAACAATCTAAGTATAAATGTGCCTGGAATATTCTCTGCTCAATTTTAATTTATAAATACAAACTATTTTAAACTCCTAATCTGAAGTATGTTCACTATACAATTTTAAATATATTTTTTCGGTAAAAATTCATTTCATGGATACTAACTATCTACTTAAAAATGCATTTTTTTATTATTAACTACAAATACATATATTGTGTGTTCTAAGCAACCGTGTACACTTTATCACTCATTAGTCATTAGTCATTACGCTGTTAATTTATTTCTATTATGTTTGCAGGACATCAAACTAAACTAATGGATTATAAATTCCTATGACTTCAAATTTTTTCTACTCATAAATTTTGCATATGCGCAACAAAACTTAATTTTTTTTCAATAGGCAACCCCTATTTGAAATATTTTTGGGTTGATGGATAAATTTCTAAAAAAAATTTTATTTTATTCTAAACACCCTTATCCAATCAAAATTATTATTATTAAAGTAATAAAATATTTACTATTAATGAATTATTATTTTATTGTTACACATTAAGAAATAACATTACTTAAACATGTATTTTCAGGAAATAAAATTCTAAGATTTTATTTTTTTTTTAACAATACTGTCGATATTATAAATTTTAATTTACAAAAATTACAAACAAACTTTTCAATAAATAGTTCGGAAACCCCCCGTTGTATACAGTGCTTACCTCAAATCGACATAAAAATTCACGAGTAGTTGCTAGCTGTATTTGATTTTCGTGTAAGAGGTTACATGCGTGTCTAATTGTATTCTTGAAATCTTGAATGTTGACAGGAGGATCAGTAAACAACACATTTTTCAAGTGTCCCCGCCAAAAAAAAAATCTAACAGTGTTAGATCAGGTGACTTTGTTGGCCACTCAACTGGTCCATGTGTTGCAATCAATTGTTCACCAAATTTTATTCTCAAAAATTTTTGGACTTTTGGGTTATTATGAGTAAGTCCCATGTTTCTGTGCCTAAAGATAAATCATCGAGGAGTAATTGCGGGTGTTTACCAGTTGCCCCCCCAAGGCTATTATCGCGTTTTTAAAAATATACCAGTTACCCTCACATGTTAATATATACACAATACAAATATACAATATATAGCTCGTAAAATAGAGGAGGTAAATATACAAATCATAAATAAAATATAAAGTTCAAAATTATAATAATTTGTCAACATAACATGTAATTTTAGATGCGTCTGAGTGGATATAATCATCGAAAACGTATGAATTGTAATTTAGTATGTTAAAAGAAAAATGCCCTGACTTTGAACTTGAATTCAATCCGTCAATTATTGTATCCGATAAAATAAATATAAAAACAAAAATATTAGTAGATTAGATTTTGTAAAATCGGTTATTAATTATTATAACAAAACATTTGTATTTTATATTATTTATATGTTGACAAATTATTATATTTTGATTTTGTTCTATTTTATATTAACAAATTATTATAATTTTGAATTTTATATTTTATTTATGATTTGTATATTTACCTCCCTTATTTTACGAGCTATATATTGTATTTGTGTATAAATTAACATGTGAGGGCAACTGGTACTTTTTCCTCTAGGTAGTTTGGGGGGATTTGGTATAAAAAAGGTACTTTTGGGGGCAACTGGTACATGCCCGCGTAATTGCAAATCATCACACAACAAATCTAAAGTAACTTCTTCCTGTTAAAATTCCGTCATATAAATGGGTCCCTAATAATTTCCCACCAATCAACCAACCCATATAATTGTACCTCAACATGTTTGGAAGTTTGTAAGAACAACCCAGTGGGGATTTTCATTCGACCTAACGATTATTTTACATATTTAATGTTCCATTATTATTAAATTTACTTTCATCAGTCCACTAAATATTATTAATTAATAATGAATAATTTTCAGACGTCACCATAAACCAAGAAGTAAAATGTAATCTTGTTTCTGGGTCTGTTATGCGAAAATGTCGATCAAAGTCTGGTTTGTAAGGGTGTAGTTTGTCTGTCTTAAATATCCTGTGAATTATAGTTTTAGGCGCACCATCAGCATGTCTAATGGACGAACGTGGGTTAATATTTATTTATGCTAAAACTTGATTTTCAATAAAAATTTTAATTTACACGAGGTTGATGTTGAGCAGCATTTGTTCTATTAAATGAACCATTTTTTATCAAAGACTTATCAAAATTTGAACTATAATTTTATACTAGGTACGTATTGACAATAACGAACAAAAATCGCAAACTAAGACCGCAATAACACATGGTTCTAATAATGAGTCACAATACCTCATATGAAAATAGGTACTTAACTGATAGTATTTTAATAGATACCTAAATATAATTCTGATTGATGGAAAAATACCTACACCCAATTAGAAATAAAATTAATGTTTAAATGTCGATTTGGCTGCACACGATTCTATACAACAAAGGGACTCTCGAACAACTTATTGAATAGTTTATGTTTGTAATTTCTATAAATTAAATTGTAAATAAAAATGTGTAGTATTGTTAAAAAGAAATTAAATAGAAATTTAGAATTTTGTTTCCTGAAAATATATGTTATTTCATAATGTGTTACTATATAAAATGAAATAATAATAATTCATAAATAGTTAATAATTTATTATTTTCATAATAATAATATTTATTGTTAGCTTAGAATCCAATAATACGTAAAATAAAAAAAAAATTCCAATTTTTTAAAATTATATATATACCTCTAATTTAGCCAATTTTGAGTTTAAAAGACAAGTTGATTCATAAAAATGTCTTGAAAAAAATCGATCAATCTAAAAATTATATTTAAATTAGAGATAGTCATTTAAAAAAAAATTAAGTTTGCGTACTCATAATACATGAGTTAAAACAATTTTAAGTCATAGTAATTTATGATACATTAGTCTAGATTAATGTCCCGCAAATAAAATTGAAAGATATTTGTAGGATAATGACTATTAATGAGTGATAAAGTGTACCCTGTTTCATGTGACACACCGAATAATATTAATTAAATTAAGCTATATTATGTCTGCATGGTATTAATTGTAATACCTACATTTTCTGGTTTATTAAAAAAAAAATATTGTATTTTCATACCTATTTTATAAACTACTTATCGTCTATTTAACTATTATTAATTTATGTTCGTTTTTTTATCTACTTTTAAATATACAGTATACCTATTACCTACTAATTACTATGTTATAGAAACCTTAGGTGTTAAATTTAATATGTTATACTTGAATTATCTCCAAAAACCCGGGAGCCAACTCAAGTTTAAAATAAAAGTACCTAATATAGGAAATTTAGGTTTTCTGGCAAGTTCGGTTTGACCAAATTGTGCAGTATCTTATTATGATTTAAGATTTAAAACTACTGGTATTGACATTTTTAAAAACACTAGCCCTAATATCCCATGTTAATTAATAATGAGAAAACTTTTCAATAACATAAATTAAATTATTGATACCTACATACTGCATATTGTTATTAAACTTTTCCTCAAATACCTATAAATTGTTAGTAACTAGTGTTTTGAACAATGAACATTTTAATAATGTTAAGTGTTAACACAAATCGGAGAGGTGATTAAATATTAATACTAAAAGTTTAAATCAATATTAGATGCTTACACTCAACTAACTCAATTCAGTATGGTCATTACTCATTATTATTACCTCATTAATTTTGATAGTATAATTTTCAATTGTGTCGAGCAAGATTTTTTTTAGTTTTCTGAAAAATGTAAAACAATTTGTGTTATTATAAATGTTTTAAATATTATATAAGGTTTAAATAAATTTCCATGCACAAGTATCATTACTAAAGCCTAGCAATTAATGATCTACATTTCTGACCAGTAGGTAACAATGCATCAAAACAATTTTAAAATTGGGTAATTAGTGTTCTGTAGAAATTAGAAAGTTGTGGTGAGCTATATTTTAAGGGTAAAATATAGCAAAATTTATACGACGGAATTTAGCTGACCTGTCGGGTTTTGTGGCAAATAAACAAACATCAGTGTGTTGAATATAATATAATCTCGAGATTCTATCGCCCATTATATTATTGAATGGTATGTTATTGATCAGTACAGTAGTGCCATAGAACAATAGTAGTGCACTTCTGTTTGCACAATAGTATTTAAGTATATTTTAAATTATAGGTACCCAAGATTATTTTAGGGCTTTTATGTGAGTTTTTCTCAGCGAGGCAGCGGTCGAAAGTCGAAAGAGAAGATCTTTAAAAGTAAAATAGTAATCGGTTACTTTCTGTTTTCAAAATCAAGTACTTTATGATTTAGACTTTTATTTGCTCATAAACCAATTTTCTTGTCTTATTTTAACAATAACAAATGAGTTACATCATGTAGGATATGCCATCTCTATCCATTCATTTTTTTTTCTATTCTACTATATGTCTATACACATATAACCTATTAAAAATACATCACACTTCTCAAATGTACATAATTATTTTTATAACAACTATGAATATTAATTTGATAATTTCAATAAATGCCTTTACATTTTTATTTCAACAACATAATATTATAGATTTCAGACATCGTAGTATCGTCCACTCAACTAGGTATTAAAATTACTAAATTAAATTTGTTTGTGTGTACCTTCCTTTCAATGTTTAGGTAGGTATAACAATAATTTACACATCAATACATCATTCCGTATTTTCTTAATAATTTTTCACGTTATACGTATTGATTTTATGTATCATTAGCCGAATGACTAGGTATATCTTAAATTCCCTAAGTTCTAAGTTTCTAACTATGGGCTTACACATTTTCTAGGATAGAACTTTGTGAGTGGTGGCCGGTGGGCTAACACTATATAAATAAATAAAATTGCAGCAACCAATCAGTAGTAGATAGTCTGGTAGGTATTATCACAATTCACAGATAATATATAAGTCAGTGGCGTAGCCAGGATTATTTTTCGGGGGGGGGGGGGGGCTGATCAGTTTTATACGCAGCGGTGGTTTAGTTTTTGATCGAATACCTTAGACCATTAAAAAACATTTTTAATTTTATTAACATTTCGGGGGAGGCTGCAGCCCCCTTAGCCTCCCCCCTGGCTATGCCACTGATATAAGTATACCTATATTATCTATGGGTATTTATGGGTATTATACTAATGTTGAGTAGATAGGTAATGTTTAATATTCGGAGAATATCCCAGAGTCTAACGGTGATGTTAACTTGTATTTTGTAAATTATAATGTTATTCATGGAACTAAACTTTCGCCCTCATTTTTTTATCGAAATAAAATTTTAGGAATAAAAGCTAGTTATGAAAAATAGTCTTAAGTTGCCTCCACATTGTTTTCCACTTTTCATTTCGTATGTTCGAATACCTTGAACTATAGTTTCTGTAGGAACTATAGTGTTTTATTTATTTAAAGTAATATGTGATAAAGGTAAAATATTTTATCATTGTTAAATTGGTTGTTGTTTTGTCATTTTCGGTCTTTTGGATACAGGTATAACGCCTTGCACGATACTTATCCAGATTCGACGTGGAGCGTACATTGATGAAACTTGGTTTTAAAGTCGCCAACCCACAACCTAGATTCGGAAATCAGAGCATGTGGGATTTGTAAAACAAAAAAAGAAAACAGGGAAGAATAATTAACAAAGAGTTGTTGGGTGAATTAATATGTCTTTAATTTAAATATAAAAAGAATAATAATTAATTTATGGGCAAGAAAAGCTCACATGGCATAAAAACTTTGTCCCAAAAAAGAGGGGCACCAAAAACCAAAAAATAACCCACAATAATAATATATAAATGCATTATAGCAGTGTATCACGGCGCGGCTCCACTATGGTTACGAGCGTACTGCGTACATAATAATAATAATAATAATAATATACACACATAAACATAGCTTAGTTTTTACACCCCTACATGATGATAATGATAATACATTAATACCTAATAATTAACAAAGAATACCGGCTAGTTACGAATATCTGAATAACAATAAATACGCGTATTACCATTTCGCGTGCGGTCCTGGGCATCGTCACTAGGACACCATCGGTGAGGTGGTTGTTTCTACTCAGTACTCGGTCTTCATGTTGACCGGTGGAAAGGCAAAAAAATAGAAACGAATATGTGTGCCAGCGTCGGATGCGTCGTGCATCACACGCGAAATGCGACGATGGTATATAATCGGTAACATTATTTTGATTGGTCGATATTCTTGTAACAATTGGATCAGTAATTAATAATAACGTGCCAGCCGGTCACATCCAAACTACGGGTGTAGCGGTGATAGTGTATTAGTGTGTGTGTGTGTACTGTGTATACACTATACGCCGATTAGAATATAGGTATCGGCGTTTTCCTTGGGCGTGGGCAGAGACGCCAGCGGAACGGAGACTGGAGAGCACTATCGCATAATACCTACACAATTTTATTGGTCGTTGAATTTTGACCGTTACACCAGGCCACATTTTTGCATCTAGCATCAATATAGTATCAATAAACATAATTACAGCGTTTATGCTTAGTAAGTATAAGAAGATTTGTAAGATACATATTATTATATTCAAGTAAATATCTTGTAAAGCCCCAGCCAGTTTAAGCTCACGGACTCACTTCCCTTGAATTAAATAGCCACTCTAATTGTAGTTTTATAATATTATCGGTTTCTCCAAGTCTTGTAAACTACTTACAAGTGCGATATTAACTATTGGGCCTTTGAAAATGCCCAGATAAATTTCCTAGTCGTCATCTAAAGCATCAGCCATCGCATTTAGTTAAGATTAGATAGGTACCTACTAACAAATTCAACACTGGAAATTATTATTTCAACCAGTTGTTGGTACCTACCTATCTGCATTTTTTGTCTCACGTTACATCTATTGAAGCAATTTTTTAATATCCAAAAAGAGCAGAGCAATCATACGCGTAGGATGGTAAAATTGTTTGGGAGTAGGCTGTAGCCCTTCCAGGGGTAGACATGTAACGAATTGTGGGGTCTTGGCTCCACACACCCCCCAACTAGTGTACATCTGCAAATATACATCATAACTTACAAATGGTAGACGGAAACAAAGTCCAGAAAAAAAATTATACATAAATGCGAACAGTGAACACGTGTATACTATACTCAGTATACTCATAATTAATAATTCATAAATTATTATAGCCAATTTAGGCAATTTTATATGCGGATACTCAATTAATAAGAAACATATTTTTTAACCTATTTATTCAATGAAAAATTTCAAGTATAAATAATTTTATGTCTGAATATGGTTTATGCTTAACTATTAATTATATATAAAAAATAACTTGTAATAGAAAAAAAATTTAAGTATAAATATGAACTTACCTATAGGTACATAATATACAGTGTTATGAGTTATAAGTCAAAAAACATTTGGAGTTTAATTATAACATTGTAGGTTTGTATATATACTACATTTATACAAAAATTATATCGACAAAAATGTAACTATAACAAATCATATTATACTGATTATATTGATTTAGGAGTATGATAAAATGTTTATCTAATGTTTTTATT